TATGGTAAAACAGCATATTTTGGGGTGACATGCTCTGAACTCCTTCATTTCCTCTGAAAGTTTCTTAAAAAGCTGAATTTGTGGCACTGGAAGGAAGAATTGGATTAGCAGCCAAGAGTCTATCTGCAAAGGGAAAGAAGAGCACAAATTAGAATAAGAATGAATAAACAAGAAATAACAAATCTAAGCACACTTCCCCATATCCTGTTAAATCAGTCTCCCATGCCTGGGAATAGGTCCCTCGTATAGAATGGCCGAACCTCATTTGTCTGACCGAGAGTGTGCAGCTCTGGAGACTGTTTGTCTCAAGCAATTTACATAGAAGCAGCCTCCTTTGCCAGTGACGAAGCTCCTCCTTTTGGGCTGTCAGTGTGTGTAGGGGAAGGCAACTTTGGAGCACAAGAGAGCCTAAACTACTAACTTCTGGTAGAATGGCTTCCAGTGTTTGTGTAGTGATAACTAAACTCTTGTTCTGTTACTATGGAAAGATTTAGAACTATCTTTTCCAACTCAAGTTCCAAAGCCTGGGAAAAGGGAGCTCAGTATTGAGAAAAAACTTAGAATTGTGATACACAAGCCAGTATTCTATAACATCTTGTCTAGTATATTTATGTGACACTACTTTATGACCAAAGGAACCCAAGTTTGTAATTTGGCTGGCATTTAAGATGGAGTACCTGATGACAGAGGGCATCAGGAATCTGAGGCCCCATCATCTTGGCCGTCTAGGTGGAACTCTATATATACCTTATCATCACATAAGATTAAAAAAAAAAAAAACAGTATTGTCCATGGCTAAGGTCACAATGAAGCTTGTGACTTACTAAATTGGGGTTTGGTGTATCTTCTCACCTGTCATGTTGTTATCTGCACATCTTTGTCTTCCGTGTATCCTTGTCAGTCCATAGGCGCAGAACAGGTTGTGAAATATCTGATGTAGGAGACCTGCAGTTAGGCCTTGGCCGCTGTAAGGCTTGGTCTTGTTACCTGACCAAGTTAGTGCAATGTTTTGGTCTCCCCATATGTAATCTTTGGCCTTTGGCAGCTCAGCTGCTCCCAGGTCACGCAAGGGTGGCTTGTGAGCCAGCTGTAGTATCTGGTGGTTTGGCAAGGGTCTGTACTGTAAGAGTCAGTAAGTATTGAGACCATTTCTGACCTTCACGAGAGGCTTGAGGGTGCTACCTGTGGAAGTGCACCGCAAGGTTTGATTGTAATATTGTTTTGGTATGTCAGGTGGGAAAAGCCCAGTACCATCACAGTTTTCAATGCTAAGGGGGGAGAGATCCCTTCTAATGTCTTTGAACAAAGGACGGTCCTTGAGCTTCTGTAGAGGCTTTCCCGTGTACAATTTACTCACCAAAAAGAGAAGTGATGTGTTTTTCTGGTCATGGATGCCATACCCTGTCATGCATCCATTTTCCAGAGTTGGTCCACCAGTTGGTCTTATTGGCAGGAATAAAAATTAATTTCAAGTTCTTTTGCATGATCTAGATGTTGATATAATCAGCAATCAGATTGATTAGTTAATGTGGCCAGGGTTTGAAAAGTGGGGTAGGGGGTGTCAGGTCTGTGCATAACTTGCTGAGAAAACAGTAAGGGTTAATAAGTGAGACACCAGCTGGAAAGAGAGCCCATAATGGAGGATCAGGGTGAAAATGGGATAGATTGAGAGAAGCAATCTCCAGCCAGCCTTTTTTTAATAAATGGCTAAAGAAGGGGGAAGCTTTGTTAAAAGGAAGATCTTTTAAAATTTCCCTTTGGGAGTAGGGAGACCCGTTGGGGGAGAATATAGGTAGAAGTGAATGTTTCTTGATCTGTGACCTTGGGAAAAGCTGTGTACTTGGTGATTCTGTCTGTTTCTGGTGCCTGGGAATTTGCCCGGGAAATCCTTACTTTAAGGTCAACTTAAGGGGTGGTCTTCCAGTTGTCCTGGGAGTGCTAATCCTGGTCTAACTTGGCATGGTTTGTGTGAGTCTAGGAGGGTTTTTCTTTTATTTTGCTGGCAGTGTGAGTGGTTAGCAGTACATCATAATGGTCTTCTCAGTGAGGTGACAATGCTTTCTTCTAAAAGTCTTGATTTACATCTAATCTTCTGGTCAAAAGGGATGGCCAGTCAGCAGAGGCCATGCCATTGTAACTTGCTGATGATATCCTCCAATTAAACTAGTTAGTTCTTGTATATAGCTAGTCATGGTGATGTGGAGAACAAAGGCAAAAGAAATGCAGATAAAATGAAATCTCCTTAGAACTTGCAGCCCATTGAAAATACTTGAGGCAGGCAGAGTATGACATTCCTCAGGAACTCACAGCTGCCTTAAGTTAATGCTTTGCTGCAGGCAGAAAGCAACCTTAGCTTGACATTGGCCCGACCTGTACAATCCTATAAGTCTTCTTTAAGATATGAAAATCCTTTTGGAAACTTCCTTTATGTCTGCCCCCTCCCCGCCAATTTAAAGTATAATCACTTCTCACAATCACATTGCAGCTCTTCTGCCCCCAGGTCCTGTACCATGGTATAATAAAAACACTTTTTTTGTACCATCTCAAGAAATCTTTCTTGATCTTTCACTCCTGGCCCATATCACATCAATAGCATTGAATTTTTCACTTAAGCCCCTATAATATTCATTCAATCCAGAAATAGAAGGTTTAGGGATGCTAGTAGGAATAAAGTGACCAAACATTATTTCTAAAGATGTTAATAATGTCTTCCCTTTGGAGTATTCCAGATTTTTATTTTTATTTTTAATTTTTTTTTCAACGTTTATTTATTTTTGGGACAGAGAGAGACAGAGCATGAACGGGGGAGGGGCAGAGAGAGAGGGAGACACAGAATCGGAAACAGGCTCCAGGCTCCGAGCCATCAGCCCAGAGCCTGACGCGGGGCTCGAACTCACAGACCTCGAGATCGTGACCTGGCTGAAGTCGGACGCTTAACCGACTGCGCCACCCAGGCGCCCCTATTGCAGATTTTTATAAGGGCCAGAGGTAATGCTTCTGGCCATTAAGTCCAGTTTCTTAACAGACTTTTTCTAAAGTCCTTTTGACATCTGGATTTTTATATTCACTTTGCCTTGAGGATTAAGGATGGCACAAAGTGTGAAATTTTAATGAGTACCCCAAAGTTTTTGCAAGAAAGTGGTTAATTTCTGCTGTAAAATTAGACCCTTTATCTGACCCAATCCATAAAGAATGCCAAAACAAGGAATACTCTCAGTTATTAATTCTTCACCATTGCTGTGACATTGGTACTTCTAGCTGGATAGTATTCAGTCCACCCACTAAGTATACAGACATAACCAAATAGTGGGAATAGCCTGACACTGGAGATAAATCTATGGAATCCATTGTGGGGTTTCACAAGGGACAATGTGGGTCTTGGAGGATTTCCTGAGGTACGTTGGTTTCCTCCAGAAATTTGGTGAGATTTGTAAGTAGTACACTGGGAAATAATTTGGCCAGAAATTTTGTGGATGCCAAGGAAGAACCAATTCTCTTTTAACTCCTTAAGTATCTCCCATCTACCCATATGTCCCATCTGATGGGAGATGAGTGTAAGCCAAAAGGTCAAAAGAAAGGGGACCACAGGAAGTATGTTTGACCCAATGTATAATCTAATTGTTTGGCACTCTTTTGTATCCATTTGTCTTTTTCAAATTGTGGGGTATTTGCCTGAATGGTTAATACTGTCAGTCAGGGATAAAAGCAGGGTTTTAAATTGGGTGGAAAAAGAAAAGGGGTTCTATTTGGGGCTGCAAAGGTAGCAGCCTTGTCAGCCCTGCTATTCCCTAGAGATACAATATCTGTCTCCTTAGTATGGCTACACAGCCAACAATATCAATTTTAGCAGGGAAGTGAATAGCATGTATAGGGCAGCAATTATATGCCCATTGGCGAGAGGAGTACCAGCAAGAGAGGTTAAGAATCCACAGGATTTCCAGATTGTGTCAACAGCCTGATGAGTTTAGCACCTTGGGCTAACTAACTTTACAGTGGACAGAGAGTGTGCCTCAGACGTTTTATGTGGGGAAACTATGGCACAGCCAGTTATTATGTTTCCCCAGAAATTTCCTCTGTAGGAACGATCACAAAATAGAACTTAAGTCTCGGTTGTGTAAAGGGGGTGGTATCTAAGAGATCCTCTCATGGCTTTCAGATAATTTTTGTTTTTGTTTTTTAGAGAGAGAGTGTGTGAGCATGTGAGTAGGGGAGAAGGGCATAGGGAAAGAGAGAAAATCTGAAGCAGGCTCCACACTCAGCACGGAGCCCAATGCTGGGCTTGATCTGCCAACACTGGGATCATGACCTGAGCCAAAACCAATTGGCTGCTCAACCGACTGAGCCACCCAGGTACCCTGAGACAATTTCTATATTTGTAAAGTAATTCTGTGGAATGGAGTGATGTTCTCCATTATCAAGGAAAGGATAATAGAGTAGTCAGATTTAAAGTGTTACAGTGATGGAAGATGAAAGAAGGGTTGGATAATAGAGGCCACCACGTAGAGAGGTGTGGTGTCTTATGAACACAAAAGGAACATAGAGGTGAATGGGGAGCCTGATCTCAGGGAACTGGCTTTGTCAGTTAGGGAGGCAGCTGTGGCTACCGCACACAGGCATGAGGGCATGCCTGCTGTCACAGGATCCAGCTGACAGGAAGGACTTCCCTGAGAGGCAAAGATTTTCCTGGAATTCCCATAGCAATCCCAGTATTGTTGTGGCACTATAGGAAAAAAAAAAGGGTTGTCAAAATTAGGTAGCTGAGAATTGTGGGTGTTCACAGTGCTAATTTTAAGCCTTCCAAGGAGGTTAATGAGGGCCCGGAAATGAGCTCTGAAGTAGTATCCAGGAGGAGGCTTCTAAAGAGTTAGCCGGGGCAGCAAAGTTAGGAATTCATTTGTGGCAGTAGCCAGCTGCCTCTAGAAATTTATGTAGCTGTTTTTTCATTTGTGGGAGAGGGATGGGCAAAACTGACTCAAGGCATTTGAGAGTGAGCTTTTGAATGACTTGAGGTATCTCATGTCCTTAGTAGGTAACAGTTGTTTGTACCCCTATAAGTTTAGTTTAAGAGGATATATGGCCTCTTTCAGCTACTATAAGAGCATGCTGCTTAGTTTGGTTACAAAGTAAAAGATCATAAACATACTGAACAAGAGTAGAGCCTTGGAATCTACCCTGGCGTTAGGGACTTGGGAAAATATTGAGGGAAACTTGCAACGTCCCTGAGGTATACCAGTCTATGTTAATTGTCTCTCTCTAAATGTAAATACAAAGAGGAATTGTGAGTTAGGGTGCAATGGAGTTGAAAAGAAAGCCGAGCAGAGGTTAATTACTGGAAATCAGGCTGGGTCAGCAGGAATTGAGATAAGAATGGTAGCTGAATTAGGGACTATGGAGTGATGAGGAATTACAAAGGCATTAATGGCTCTCAGATGTTCTTTAAATTAATAGATTTGAATCCAGTCTGAATCCAGTTTCCCTCTTTCTTTACTGGTAAGATTGTAGTGTTACAAAGCGAGGAAGTGAGAATATCCTGCTGTAAAAGAGATAGGTTCAGTGCCTCGCTGCGCACTAACGAGGGCACTAACGAGGGCAGCACTGGGCTACACGTGGGGGAAGCTTGCTCCTTTTCCAGTAATATGCACAACTCTGTTGCTGTAACAATTCAACCTCATTTGCATGTGAGGCCTGGGTGCTAGTTGGGATATCTTTTAAGATTGCATCTTCTTCAGAAGATTTTCAGTTGAGATGGGTTTCCATTAGGGTAAAAAAGTTTGCTGTTTGGTCAGATGCAGGAAAATAAAAACACATTTCTCATTACACTGTATGGTGGCATTAAATTTACATAACAAATATCTACCTAAGAGATTTGCTGGGGAAGAGTCAGAAAACAGAAAGGCATGATGGGTGTTAAGAGGGCCTAAAGGTATCCGGGAGGCCTAGGATATAGACAGTGAAATAGGTTGCCCAGAGACTGAAAGCTTGAATAGAATCAGAGGTGACAGGTAGAGATAAAATCCTCTGAACAGATGGTAAAGTCACATCAGTGTCAATTAAGAACCAGTTCCTGATCCTCTACTCTGAGGATGGTGAGCCCTGGGGTGCACCTTGGGCTTAGTTGACCCTATCAGGAGGGTATTGCCCCACAGAAGGGGAGAAGGGAGTGAACCCTCTGAGGGTGCTGGGTCTAGAGAGATTGTTTCCTTTTTTTTTTTTTTAACGGCTGTTGGAAATCAAAAACAAGAATACTCATAACAGAAAATATCAAATCACTATGCCTAAAGAACTAGTTCACACCAGTGTTTTCTTTTACTAATCTAAATTTGGAAAAGGTAAAACATGAGGAGAGACTCTTAATACTTTGGTGGATTGGATCTTGCAGGCAGAGATCCAGGAGACTAACTGGTAAGAATTCTTACCTTGTGCTGGCTGTGTCAGAGATCCCAGGATCTCTCAGCTGCAGTGGCCCTGGAGTGAGCAGTGTCAACCAGTGACATCCCATCCTTGTCAGCAAAACTGTAGGTAAGGAAAAATGCTCCTCTACCTACCCTCTTTGTGTCTCCAGCAGGGCCTAAAAGTTAAACTGACATAAGAAAGTTTAACAGGAGGGGGGCACCTGGGTGGCTCAGTCAGTTGAGCATTAGACTTGATTTTGGCTCCAATCATGATCTCATGGTCATGGGATCAAGCTTCAAGCTGGGCTCCAGGCTGACCTGAATGTGGAGCCTGCTTGGTTCTCTCTCTTTCCCTCTGTTCCTTTCCCCCTCTTGCATGCACTCTCTCTCTCTCTCTCTGTCTCTCTGTCTCTCTCTCTCTCAGAAAGGAGAGAAAGAAAGAAAAGAAAAGAAAAGAAAAGAAAAGAAAGAAAGAAAGAAAGAAAGAAAGAAAGAAAGAAAGAAAGGAAGGAAGGAAGAAAGAAAAACAAGATCAACAGGAGAAAGGCATACAAGTTTTATTATTATTATTTTTTTACATGTACATGAGAACCTTCACAAGAGAATGAAGACTTGA